TATACCAGTATCAAGCAACCACAAGAGACCAAAACCAACACAGAGGGTTAAAGCAGTATTCCAGGCATGGCTCCTCCTTTTCTCTGATCGTATCCCCTTTGCCCAGTTATCCCAGCCCTGCACCACCAAAATGATCCACTTTATGTTGAGGTAGTTCTCCTTGGGGAATTTAAAACCCCCTTTAGGGTCAGATTCCACCACTGATGCAGTGCAAACAGGCTGTGCCACACTGGAAAATCTGGGCCCTGATGTTTGGCTGCTGGGAAAATGTTCCTGCTCGACACAGTTTCACACATCACTGATTGGGTCCTGTGACTCTTCTGCTGAATCAGTGCATTTACATTGCAGTATGTTGGCAAAGCAATTTGATTGGATTTACCATGCATTTGTGGATTAGCAAATTGTAGTCTCAGTCCACATACTAAAAAACCACCAATCTTAAACTAGATATTTTTAGTTTACCACTGAAAACACAGCATCTCCAAGGACACATGTATTAATGCAAACACAGAAAAAATAGTTCTCAATATTGTAACTAAGAATAAACCCATCCTATAAACCAGCTGTTTGAACATCACATTACTTTGCCATATGAAGGCAATTAACTACAATTGGCAATATAGCCATTTCCTAGAACAGTAGTACTCGACCTTTAGAAAGACATGATCAAGTTAAAAATCAACCATTTCTTTCAGAAAATATTTTACCTAACATTGTTATAAGTATAGCTATAATTACTATACATGAAAGAGATGAGAGAAAATTCTGTTTTTTCACATTGTTTACTTTTTGCATTTGACAACAGCTTGTATACAGTCCGTTTCACTAATTCTGTAAGCGAAACAGTTTCTTCTGTTACACAGGCCTTAACAGGATTAGTTTCTTCTTTAGCAAGAGCATTGAGAAAAATATTGTGATAAATAAGAAAATTTGATTGTAAAACCACAAAACCTGGCAAAGGACTCAGAAGGTTTTGTACCTGAAACTACTATTAATTCTTTTTTTTTTTTTTTTGGTGGACCACATTTCAAACTGACAGTGTCCCTTTAACAGTCAAATAGTGATTTAGTCATTAAATGGAGTCAAAGTGAGGCTCAGAAGAACTCATCATATATTAACATTTCAAAAAAAGGATATAATAAATTGAGCAACAACTAATGCACTCATCAAAACAGCAAAGGGACAGATTTTGATAACCCTACCGCATAAGACCTTATGTTGCAAACTGTCTCACTGAAACCAACGGGACTTCTAAAGGACAACTCAACAAAGTAAGAATATCAAAATCTGGCCCTAAATAAATTACTTTCCAGTACAGCATTTTTTTTTAAAGTAAATCATCAAAGTAACATTTTCCCCACCTACTTGAACTAACCATTAGCGCAAATAAGGATTAATCTCTCTCTCCCTCCCACCCCTCTATAATATGTGTGTGAGAGTGCCTCTCTCATTCCATGACCCTCTGGTTCTTTGTTTTTAATTCCTTCTTTCCCCCAAAAAAACCCTCAAACCCAAGAAGAGAGTCACCTGCTGGGCTATAAAAAAGGTTGAGCACCACTGAGCTGTAATTTAGTCTTTGGGCTCCATACTAGCCTATTAGAAATACATTATTCCAAAACAAATATGGTTATTTCCCAAAGGTACATCTCATTTAATATTCCCTAAATCAGACTCATAAGTAACAAGCTGTGCTTATCAGTATTCCACAGCAAGAATAGCAGAGATTAAAAAATAAAATAAAGCCATAAACTGGGCAATCGGAAAAATATATATTATACTTAATACCATGAAATTCTAGAGATGACCTGATTCTCTTATTTCTTTTGTAATATTATTAAGATGTTTTTATCAAGTCACAGTACAATACTGTAGCATCCTGACCTGTGTTCAAATCTTTTAGTCATATTTATGTGCCACCAGAATAGCAAGGTAAAACTACAGCCTAATGTAGGCAGTTTGGTTGACTTATTTTTTTAAGTCTTGAGTATCAAAGCCATTAAACAACCTAAGCATTAAGACATCTAACAATCATTAAAAATTTGTAGTCCACAAGTTATATCCATTCCTGACTCCTATGTTTGTTTGGGTTTCTCTCTTTCTTTGTTTTCCTTATGAAATAATACATGTAGGTCCTTTTGAAGATACTTGCTGGTGTTTAATAGCTGTTTTTTGTTTTTTAAAGACATTTGCAGCCAAAAGCTTTCAGACCTGGCTACCAGAGGTACACTTACAAAATGGAGTAAGTGCAAGCTGAGCAACTTGTTTGCTGCATAAGACAGGTTTGTGACTGATCATTTGACCCTTACAGTTTGTGACAGTCTTCATAAACGATACATTGTAGTACCACATCTACCACAAATGATCATAATACTACATATTGGACCACGACACTGTAAAGCAGAAGGCTGTAAAAATATGCATTTCATATAGCTGTACCATGTACCCATGTGGTATAGAGATGTGATACACAGTTATGCTTAGACCACATGAAGTGTTCATATGTCTGCATGTGAGTAATTATTTATAAAGAGGCATTCATTATACTGTAATAAGGACATATGTTGGGTACATTGTGAATAACTGCCAGGTTGAATAGAGTGCTTCCAGCACCTGGCAAGTGTCATCACACTATAAATTATGCCATGAAGCATGTTTTTCCTTTTACACATTTTGAAAAACAAATTCTATGAGAAGTGCCATCTTGGATTTCCTCCATCTGAAATGAGGATCCCAACAGCTGCATTTGAGCCTAGAAATTTCTAACAATGTTGTTAATAAACATAGGACCCAACTGGTGCAACCTATTTTACAGAGATACAAATGAAAGTCTATGGTGTGGTGATAATTTGCATATCTTTTTACATATGTACATTACCAATATATACACACACAATAAATGGTGCCACATTCATCAGAAAAAAAAATCAACAGTCACTACATGAAACTTTGATGAGAAGCATCTTTCCTTTTAAAGGCTACCATTAGAGTACTAGGTTATTGTATTTCTGTATGTCAAGAAATCACATTAGTATGTTTGCATCATCTGGCCAAGATTTTTCATTCAAGTTTTCATTTGTATTCATTATTTATATTTTTAAATAGACAATAATATGCACACACTATAGCATTAGGGCTTGATCCAAAGCCCATTGAAGTCAATGGAAGTCATTCCCTTAATGTTTGGCCTAATTTTTAAGATCTAAAAAATTCTAAACGTTCTGCTTTCCTATGCACAGCATAAACAGCTGTCCCAAGGAATGCTAAAGACTTGTTTAGAGAAATGTCATCTTCAAAGGCTATCTTTCAGGTCCCTATTGCAACTTTTTATACCATATTTATAACATCCAAAGCAAGCTGCTTTTCTTCACGTTTCAGTTAACGTCATTGTCTTAATCACTTGCCCTGAGAGAGTTTAACTTCAGAAGTAGAACACAAATGTGGTAGAATGCCCCAAATTCCTACTTTACCCACCACGCGTGTTCCCTAATCCCTTGGATGTAAAGCCCCTTGAGCCGAGAACCAGGTGTGTGCATGGGAGAGAAGGGAAGCTCTCAATAGTTAAATTGAGACAATCACTGCAGGTAGCATGCTTCAGAATATAACACTAAGTAATGAAAATGATGGCTGCTGAAAATTAAGTACAGTAACAGTTTATACATGTTTTTAAAAATGAGTTTAATAAACAAAATGCATTAAAAATGGTTATATAACAGATTTCTCTCATAAATATACCTCATAGCAGAAAGAACTAGGACCTATACCTCCCCAGAACTATTATACTTTCTCCCTTAAAATGATTTATGGCAGCCCCTTGACTCATATGTTAACTTTTCTGTTGCAATGTGTCTTTTGCTCAATTACACTCCTCCGATTCAGAAATATATGACAGGCATATCATATAAGATTGGGTTTATGCACATTGCAGGAATGAATTGAGATCAGGTGCTTGGGAACACAATTTTAATACAGAAAATAAGGAGAAAACTACTTTCAATTGATAAAACTATTATTTGAGACAGAAAGAGATGAGGTTTGATTGTAAGGATGAAAATGATAGATTTTCCTTGCCTATAGTTGAATTTATCCCCATCTAAAACCACCTCAGCCAGAGATTTTTTATCCCTGGGGCTCATAAAATACTTCTTGCCTTTGGAATACACCAGGCTACAACAAATATCATGTACTCTCCAGAAAATTGTCACAGAAAGTTCCTCCCCAGGTCTCCTAGGAGGGCTTTATTCCTTTTAGCCTGAAAATGATTCAATACAAGCACTAGAAAGAGAATTTTAAAATTATTACTTTTAGTGTATGCCGTAAAATCTCATTCTAAATCCTTGCTGTTATAAACATTAGAGGATACTCAGTTTTGAGCACTGCTCCATTTGATTATCTGTAATATCTGCTTATAGCATTCTGGACCAGAATGTTGTTCCTAACATGAGCATACACACAAAACACACATGCTTTCCTTTCCCCTACTACCTGCAACCTCATTCAAGCATTAGGCAGCACATGTCATGCATGTCTATAGCATCGTTCCTGGATATAACGTCATTACTTTCCTTTCCCACACTGCTCTGTGACCCCATTCTACCGTAAAGAGACATGTATGTATGATTTCAACGGTTAAAATACATTGAGACAGGAGGGAGAACTCTCACTGCACCAGCCAACAAAAAAGTGTGCGTGTGTGTGTGGGGGGGGGGGGGGGGCTTCACCATCCTCTGCTAAAAGCTTGAGTAACTGTGACCACTCCCGCACCCACACTTTAATTCCTGCATGACATGACATTTCAGAAGGCCCATACCAACAGACATGCTGATAAAACACTACAATAACACAAACCAAACTACTGCCTTACTTTCACTGGGATGAAGTATACTATGATTTTCATATTCTGTTCTATATAGGTGTCTATACCGCTTGCATCACTATAGTATGTGACCCCATTGATGCAGATTTTACTGTAATTTAAAGAGAAAGAAATACTGGACACATACCCAGCCTCCGTTGTCTTGGATCCAGTTGTGTAGGTGTCTGTTCAGGTACTCGGTCATCCACACAGCAATGCTGTCCACAAGAGGCGACATCTCCCGATTAACACTCTCCACGCACATCACGCCACCGAATTCAAAGAAGGCCACGATCCTTCCCCAGTTAACCCCATCTCGGAACAGCTCCTCCACCACCGCCACAAAGCGCCCCCTGGCCGTGAATGGGGTCAAGTGCAGCTGGCCAGACATCTGGGCAAAATCTCTGTGGTAGCGGCGGGAAAATTCATCTCCAGCTTGGCACAGAGTCAAGAGAACAGCCTGCGGTGCTGGGCGCAGCCCATCACCAAGGGGTACGTTACTAGCAGCAGCCGAGCCAGGGGGCTCAGGAGGCAGAGACACCAGCCCAGCATGGTCAGATGAGGTCCCAGCAACAGTAGGGGGAGAGAGATTTGGAGAAACTGGTCCTCTGTTTTCATTGGCAGCCCAATCATATCCCCTCTGTGACAGTTTGTAATGGATGTACTTCAGCACTATCTCCCGGTTATCATAGCCTCTTCTCCCAGGATGAGCCATAATTTCCAACAGGGAGCAGCAAAGAGGAGGGAGAGAGGAAGAAGAGGAGCAGGATGAACCCAAAAAAGTAAAGCAGCCAATAATAATAATAATACCACCAAAAAATTATAATCCAGTTATTGTATTGGATGCGGTTTCATTCATGATGGTATGAGGAGCTCTCAGGTCTCAGAGGTACTTTCGTCTTCTCGGTTTGAGATGCACAGTATAAATAGATTTAAAATGCTGTAAGTATTTTATTTCCAGAAGCACATTATTTATTATATATTTATTTTAGAAACATTTTCTTCTTGATGCTGATATATATATATATAAATATATATATGTATTTAAAATCTCATACTTATTCAAAGCCAAGTGCATATTTCCCCTAGGTGCTGAACTAACACATGTGAATGAAGGAGCTGAAGAACATATACTGTAAAAACTGCAATTCAAAATGATTTGCTCAACAGCCTTAGATGAACGTTAATCCAATGGACTTTAAACTAAAAATCTCAAAATTCTTTCTTTTTTGTTTTTTAATTACACAATGTAAATTTCCTGTGTAAAGTACTTACTTGGACTATAAATATGTTCCTCGGTCAAGTTTCCTTTTTAAAAAAAAATCACAAGTCTTCAGACACGTTAAGTTCTGGTTGCTTTCATGCTTCAAAAAATCAAATCACCAAGGGGACAGGAAAGGGACCAAAAAAACAAAACAAACAAAAAAAAAACCACTATGGATTTTAAAATTTATTTCCCCGACTTCTGTTAAACAGACATCTCCAAAGACATGTCAAAGATCCGAATATCCCGCCTCAGAGCCCAGGAAGGAGAACAACCCAAAACAAAAGCAAAATTATGAAGAGCAGATGAAACACACCTTTGACTCCAAGCTCTTGCAGAAGTGCTGTGCTTTTCCCTCCAGTGCAACGTACAGACACATGCAATTAAATTCATGTAGTTTCATTCAGACACTGATCTCTAGGCAGAGCCCAACGCTCCCCCCTCCCCCGACATACACCCACACACAGGAAAAGGGAGCATCAAAATTTTGACTTTTGCCTAAACTCCAGGGAACAAATGCATTTCCACAGCAGCTTTGTATAAAAAGCAAGAAACCCCCCCAGAGTGCAGAGGAGGGAAGAGGATGGGGGCGTGTGTGGAATATTATTCATACAAATTAGGACCGCTGCTAGGAAGTTGTTCCCCCACTACCCTCCCGCCCCAGCACCCCCAGCGCAGACAGCCGTGCAAGCCCCCCAGGCAGAGCAGCCCCCTCGTCTTTCTGCAGTGGTGCTGCTGAAGCGCCAGTCCGTTCCGTGTAGCTGTGGCGGCCGGGGAAGCAGAGTCACAGCGCGGGTGCAAGAGAAGGAGGGAGGAGGAGGAGCAGAGCCAGTGGCGGGGAGGAGAGCGGCCGGGAGAGGCCCGCACACGAGGGGCGGGTTCCCTAGAGCTCCACCTCGTTGTTCATTCAAGAAACCGGGGAGAGGAAGGAGAACCCGCCGCCGGCTCGCCACCGTAGCCATCGATGTAGCCCTGGCGGGGCGGGCCACATGCCCCGTGCGTGGCCGGGGGCTGCCTGCTGGGCTTGGGCATGCTCAGCTCGCCCTGCTGCCAGGCAGACGCTGGAGAGGACGCGCCTTGGCTAGGAAGGGGCTGGGGGGAGAAACGCACCGGGTGGCTGCTTGCTGCGGGGCTCCCCTGGCCCTGGGGCAGATTCATGCCTGGGGTAACTTCGCGGCAGGCCAATGCTTCGCTGGGCTCCGTGGTGCGGCGCCCGCCCTGGGCCTGCTCCCCCTCACACCAGTGCCCCTGCAGCCAGGCGGCTCCCCCGCTGTGAGCGCAAAGCCCGGCCCGCTCGCGCCTTCCCAGCTTCTCCTCCCCTGCAGCCGGCCGAGGCGGGGACAGGCGGAAGACGCAGGCCGGCTCCTTGCGCGCCGGCAGCTGCGGCTTTTCCCGCGCCTGCAGGCGGGGGACGGGATGGGAGGAAGCAGCCGCAGATGGAGCCAGATGGGACAGCGGGGCCCTAGGAGGCTGGGGTAGGGGCTGCTTCCTGCGCAGCCCGGGACGCCGCGCTGAGCCCCGCTGTGAAGACAAAGGCGACTGACTTGCTTTGAGATAGGTACAAAAATAATAATAGTCCGAACCAGTTCCAAAGTTGTGGTGCCGGTAGAGCTGAAAAGAGGCCAGTTTGTTATTGAACACCCCCCCCCCCCCCCCAAATCCCAGGCTAGCTATGTGATTAGTTCAGGTGTAGACGCTTCTAGTGCTTCATTTGTAATGAAAGAGAGAGGTGCTGGGGCTCAAGCAATTTTTTTATTTTCATAACTGACACTGTGAGCCCAGCGGTACCAGGGCTATGAACTGCCAAGCCTAGAGGTGCCCGGGCTCAGCCCTGGCACAAATTAAGCACTGGACATTTCTTTCCTCACTAATTTTTGCACTTTCCACTTGCACTAGGATTGAAGGGGAATTGCATTTCTGAAGCCCTCGTTCAGAGGGAAAAGCCCTGCCGGGTAGTGTAGAAAATCCTGTGATCGTTTTTGCTCATGGTGCCCACTCATCAGGATTAAGGGCAGCAGAGTAGGTGGTAAAGACTCAAGATGCCACTAGCAAACCGGGAGAGATAGCAACATGGGAAACATTGTATTGCAAAACACTCTGTCACATAAAGAAAACCTTTCAAATTATTGAAATGTTCATTGTATTGTATGGTACTTATGACCTTTTTGACCTCCCTTTTCACTGGCCTGTATGGTTTTCCTTTATTGCTCCTTTGGAAATATTTTGGGGGCTATCACATCTAATTTTAGGCCCCTGATGTGCAAATCCTTAGTCCTGGATGTTGTGCTTACTACTCTAATAATCTGGTTTAATGTACTTACCATCACAGTTAGCATTATGCCCTATAGTAAAATGTTGTTAGCTAAAGCCCGTAGGCCCTGATCCTGCAGAGATTTACACACATGCTTAATTTTGTGCACGTGAATAGCTCCACTGAGGTCTGTGGGACTACTCACATATATAAAGTTTAATACATGCATAAACCTTTGCAGGACTGGGGCCTTAGTTTGTACACAACCTAGATTCTTAGATTGGGGGGCAAGGGAAATAAAAAAATTTGAGAATAAATTAATTTAGAGGCTGATCCAACACACACTAAAGGCTACAGGAATCCTGCTGGAAAATGGGGTAAGATGCACCAGTGAAAAATCAACACTACTATTTTTTTTGTCTACACCAGTGCAGCTACACTGATGGTTGGACACGGATGGTTGAAATTAGGATAAATTCCCAGTGTAGACAAGGCCCAAGTTAAATCAGGATTGAAGGTACTCAGCATCTCTCAATATCAGGCCATTAGCATCAAAGGACAGAAACTGATTGCTAGAATTTATAAAATGTCATTTTAAAGGATTTTCATGTATCTGAATGCAAAATCTTTTTAAATCCTGAAGAATTAAATGCAAGGTGTTAACTGGAACATTACCCACTGTGAATCTAGAGGGGGAAAAGATTTGAAACTTAAGATGAGAATTTGAGAGTATTCTTCCCAGGGATAGGGAGTAGAAAGTACATTAATGCTTTAGTCACTATGAGGGACTGAAATGCAAGGCTGCTCATAAATGTTTACCTAAATTCCAGGGGGAAAACAAAGCCATAGTACACATAATTATTTTAAAATTAGGGGAGGATTTTTATCATTTTTTCCCTTCTATCAGATTCTGAAGCAATGCACTATGATTCTTTAAAACTCACCTGTAAATTCCATTGTTTTGCTTTCCATTCAAAGCATGCTTGTCTTACATACTCACAATTCCACTGAGACTACACACACGAGTAAGAAGAGAAATATTTCACTCCCATAAGTGTAGGAACTGCCAGTGTCATAGTAATGAAGGAAAGTAAAGAAAGATAATTTCTTTCATTGTGCACACCTGTGTGTTAGTAATGTGCATTGATTTAGCTTATTTTTGCAAAAGATTGTGCATGGATAATATGTTATAATGCACTGAGGAGCTTCTGTAGAAAGTTACAAAACAGCATCATGCAGCTGGATTCAGTTCTGTCAGTTGCTATAGTGAAAGAAACTAGATAATCTTTTAGAGAGACAAAGTGGATGAGGTAATATCTTTTATTGGACCAACTTCTGTTGATGAGACAGACAAGCTTTTGAGCTTGCACAGAGCTCGTCTTCAGGACTGGGAAACGTACTCAGAGTGTCACAGCTAAATACAAGGTGGAACAGATTGTTTAGCATAGGTAGTTAACACATATTTCAAGGGACCATTCAAAGTGAAATGGCTGGTTAATACTGATCCAGTCGTGGGAATGAAAGGGAGGGGGGAAGACAGCTGGAGGGGAAGGTTGTTAATGGGTTATAGATTGTTGTAATAAGCCATAAATCCAGTGTCTCTGTTCATTTTTAATTATTTTTAATATCTAGCAAAGTTATGAATTTAAGCTCCCACGCTCATCTTTTGAAAGTGTTGTGCAGTTTTCCTTTGAGGATGAGGACTGATGGGTCAAATATAGAGTGATCACTTTGAGAAAAATGTTCACTCACATTGTTCTACTGATCCACTTTAAATTCACTTATGAAAAAAAGTTTTCTTACCACTTGTTGCCACCTAGTGGCTGCTGCTCACTTAAGACATTTTGAAGTTACTGTGGCTCTTGGGGTTTATTTTAAAGGGGCACTATCAAATTAAAATCTGGTTTCAGGTACTAGCCATGACCCTGAACACCTCTGCTAAGTTTTGGGCCTCTACAATAACATTTTTCTTTATTCTCTCTGGAACTGACTATATAAGAGGGTCTATGCACAAAGTGTGGTCAAATATACAAAGTAAACAAACGGGGGGAAAATATAGAAATTTTATTTTCTTTAAACTCATTTTTAGAATATTTATTACATTTAAAATAGTAGGTTAAACAAGTCAGACTGCTGGTGGTTTTTAAGCTGTTGCATCCCTCTAATATTAGTATTTTTCAGAATAAAAATCTAGGAAGAAATAATATTATTTAGGAGAGACAATCAGTTGTGTTTTTATAATTCTTAATTAGCAACAAAACTTGAGAGCCCTACATCCTAAAATGGTAGCTAAAGTGTTATAGCAGTCTAGTATAATTAAGCATTCCACCGATATGGATTCAAATCCTGTTCAAGAGAGAAGTTGGATGACTGCTGGAAAGTCACAGGATGAGTAAATCTGTTAATTTCTTTTAGAATGATAAGTTTGTTGTGTTTATTATTTGAAGGATTTTTAAAAGGAAGCAGAGCATGTAGTAGGTCAAGTGAACTGAAGCCAAATGGACAATTACAATGCAGAAAAGAGTGACTGCTGTTGGATTATAAAATGAAACCCTGCTCCTTCATGGTCTTGTGTATGCTGTCAAAAAGGGACTCATAATTTGCTAACAGTGCAGCTCCATTTATGGTATGAACAACTCCCAGCAGGGTTAGATGCCAGAGAGGTAAACACATCTGATCCCCATCGAAATGAAAACCACCAACTGTGGAGCTGCATTAGTGATGAATCACAGGTCCCATTTCTGACAGTGTAGTTGCAGTCTAAAGGTCTCAGTTCTGTAAACTTTGACACGTACATAACTTCACTCACATAAGTAGTCCTATTGAAGTCAAGGGAACTAGTCAAGGGAGTAAAGTTATGGACATTACATAG